TCTGTGAGCATCTTCGTCCCCCCCCCCGCTAGGGAGCGCCCCATGGCCGCGTGTCCACCAGCGGCCGCCTGTCCACCAGCGGCCGCTGTCGGTTCTGTGGTTGGGCATCGCATCCGCAGCTTTTTTGGGGGAGCAGCTTCGTCCACCCCCCTCCGCCAGGGGCAGCGGCCCGTGGCCACGGCTGGGCGCAGCCCGAAGGGCCCACCCGGGTGGGCTCGCGTGCATGAAGCCGGGCTCGTCCCTCCACGGGAGGAGTATTCAAGAATAGTACGAAAATAGTCTGGGGACGATTGCTCGACGTCTCTGATCAGTTGCGAGTGTTTATCTTGATGTTTTATCCCAGCCATCCTGTGTTGTTGGGTCCTCGTTCCTCTCCTCTCTCCTCTCCTCTCTCCTCTCTCTTCTCTCCTCTCCTGTCTCCTCTCCTCTCCTCTCTCCTCTCCTCTCCTCTCCTCTGCTCTGCTCTGCTCTGCTCCTGCTCCTCCTCCTTTTCCTCCTCCCCCCCTCCTCCTCCTCCTTTTCCTGCTCCTCCTGCTCCTTTTCCTGCGCCTCCTCCTCCTCCTCCTCCTCCTCCTCCTCCTCCTCCTCCCATCCATGCCTCTGCCCTCCGCATGTCTGTGTTCCGGCGCGCCCAGTGCAACACTTCGACGCCCCATGGGGAGCTCCACCGAAGGCCTCAGTGGCGGCGTTGGCACGGCGCGCCGCCTCATTTTGGCGCACCCCTCACACGGTTCGTGGCCCCATAGGGAGTTCCATCGAAGACCAAATTAGCATGGTCCACATGGCGGTGCCGCCCCATTTTGGCGCACCTCGTACGGTTCGTGGCCCCATAGGGAGCTCCACCAAAGGTCCCAGTGGCGGAGTTCGCACGGCGGCGCCGCCCCATTCTGGCGCATCCTTCACACAGGTCGTGTCCCCAGAGGGATCTCCACCGAAAGCGGCGCCACAACACGGTATTCACAACTGAACATGGTTGGGTTCTTTCAGTCAGTCATGCCATACGCCGTAGCGCGTGGGCGAAACGAAATAACGGAATGCGCGCTCGCTGGAGCTTCCGCTTTGCGGTTGCTGCTGCGGCGGCACAGGCAACATAGGATATAATCGAATGCACAACTGGTTATCTGGGGGGGGGGGCGAGAGGGGGAAGGGGGGGAGGAGGAGCAGGGTGACAAGAAGGGAAACCTGCAACCTTACCTACAATTTCGTGCCATGCAACTGGATCGCCAACGCAATCCATCAAATGGTCGGGTGTAGTAAAATGCTGCACGACAGAAGCGAGCAAGCTTTTCGCCCATTCTTGCCTCGGCCTCCCGACTGCTCTGGCGCACGCGTTCTCTGCCCGGAGAGTTATATTCGTCCTCCAAAGTCCGCCTGTGGGTGGGGTGGGCTCGTGTGCAGCGGGGGGGCCCCCGACCCGCGAGGGCGGGGCGGCCTTTGAGCGCCGGCGCCGCGCCTCCAGGAAGCCCCTCCCGCGCCCTCTGTGCGAGGCCCTCGCCGTGCGCCACCAGGCCCTGCTCCGAGACCGCCCCTTCCTGACTCGAAGCACGGTCAGCCCGCGTAATGAGCACGGGCAGCATTCCCAGGGGTACCCATCCTGGCCTCCTCGGTCTATCCTTGGCCAGTCTCGTTCGCCGCGCCACGCTCGAGAAGCTTCGAAATGGGCGCCCAAGGCCCTTGCATCCTTAGCGCGCATCCTTGTGATACGGGCCGACTGCACAGCCAGGAACGGCATGAGTATGCTGCCTCGGAGGTCCGCGCGGATTTCCTGGATCGGCGCTGGGCCCCCCCCCACCCCTGGCGGCGCCTCCGGGGCGCCCCCGCGCTCCAGGGGCGGGGGGTCCGCGCGCCATGTGCGGGGGGTCCAGCGCCGATCCAGGAAGGCCGCTCGGACCCCCGAGAACTCGTGTTTGTGCCGTCGCTCGTGAGACGCCACGCGCTCGGGGCGTGACCCGTCCCCCCTGAGCGGCTCGCTCCCTCCGCCCGCTCTCTCGGCCGCGTCTTCCACCCCTCCCCCCTCCTGCATGGTGGCAGAATTCGCTTTAACGGCGCCCCCGTTTAGGCCTTTCCGCCAGCGCAGACGACCCCTGCCTCGCCGCCGACGCAAAAAGTTTGTGCCGCCGGTTGCTCTTCGACCGGCCTTCGCCCTCCGCTCCTCTGCGCGCCGCCTGCCGCACCCGCGACGCGCTGCAGCTCGAGGACAAGTCGTACCTGATGCGCCTGGGGCCGCAGACGTACGTTGCGGGCAAGACCTGTGCTTAGATCCAATGCAGCTTGCAGTCTCGGGCTCTCTCCTCGGCGGTTCAAAGATGAGGTCCTGAGGGATGGGGTCCTAAGGACGAGGTGCCTCAAACCACGTAGTCAAATTCACCCTTGGATCCCTTGCTATCCTGAGGACCACATCCCTCAGGATCCCATCTTTGGACCACCATGGACAAAGTTCTGGCCCCAGGAGTCCCTTGCGCACTGGCCATGGATAAAGTTCTGGCCCCCGGAGGCTCATTTTTTTGTCCGCGTTCCCAGTGCGCCTCGGCCCCGCGGCGACCCCTCCGAGAGAGCGCACGACGCCCTGGATGTGGACATAGCTGTTGCCCGCGCGCGTGGACGCGCGGGCCCACCACGGGGTGCTGGCGCGGTACATCAACGACTGCCGCGTCCCAGCCTTGGGTCGGGCACGCTCCTCCACAGGAGGATTATTTTTCAAAAATAGTCCAAAATTTGTCCAGGGACGATCTGGCAGTATTTTTGAGCACGGTTGGAGTATGTTTTGAATTTCGTTTATGTTTCGCCCAGGATTCCTCTGCAGGGGGACAGGCCCGACCTAAGCCCGGCCGTCTACAACGTGCGCTTCGACAAGCGGCCCGAGGAGGGCGCCGCCGCGGTCGTGGCGCTGCGGGCCGTTTGCGCCGGGGAGGAGCTCTTCGTGGACTACGGCCGGCTCTACTGGGCCTCGCTGTCGCCGCGCCGGCTCCCTGCCCGGGGAGAGGGGCGGGGCTCGTCTCGACTCCTCGAGATCGAGTCGATTCGTTGTGGATGGCCTCTGATTCCGAGTCCATTCGACTCGGGATGTTCCGATTCGGGTTTCGATTTCTGGTTGGAGGCATGCTGGCCTGCCGATTGCCGCCGATTCGACTTTTCCCGACTCGGCTGCCGATTTTCGCCGATCCGACTTACCGATTCGATTCTTTGTTCTCCTGGAGGGGGGCATCCGTCGGGTGACGGTCGGGCGAAGAGAGCTATGCACAAACACTGATCCTGACCAGGCCCAGCCAGGGCTCAGGATTGGTGCATGCCCTTCCTTGGCAAGGCCAGGAGGGCGTATGCGCCGATGCCGGGCTCAGGGTGGGCCTGGCCAGAGTCGGGGAATGTGCACAGTTGTTTTTTCTCTAGACCAGACTTGTTCGAGTGGGGGATCGACTACAGGAATGATTGACTCCAAATTCGATCTCTGCTCTCCGGATCCATGGAGCAATTCCTAGAAGACTCGTGGATCTACGAGCACTCTACGCATGACTCGCCGAGAAGGTTTTTTTCTGGGTGGATCTCCATGCTGCCGTCGTCGCCCCCACCGCTCGAAGGGTGCGCGCGTGCCGGTCCTGGCCAGGGCCCATCCCTCTGCCGGGCCTGCGCTCGGCCTGGAACGGTGCGTGCGAGGGAGCCCCATCCACCGTCGGTGGCCGGAGAAGCCTCCTCCTCCTCTTCCTCCTCCTCCCCCTCCTCCCCCTCCACCTCCCCCTGCTCCCCTTCTCCTCCTCGTCCTCCTCCTCCTTCTCCTCGTCCTCTTCCTCCTCCTTCTCCTCGTCCTCCTCCTCCTCCTCCTCCTCCTCCTCCTCCTCCTCCTCCTCCTTCTCCTCCTCCCCCTCCCCCTCCCCCTCCGCCTCCTCCTTCGCCTCCTCCGTCTTTTCCTTCTGCTCCTCCTCCTTCTCCTCCTCCTCTTCCTCCTCTTCCGCAGCCATTTTGGCTCAAGGCTATGAGGTTCAGAAGGAACCAGGTGGATACCGCTTGTCGCGGCAGTGCCAGGGCCCTGCGCCCGACAGTTTTCCCTCAGGCGCCTGGTCCGCCCCAGGTCGCCATACGTGCAGTTATCGGACCATTGCGCCTCTCACTAGTTGTCGGCGGCCGCCATGGCACCGCCTGCTGGCCGCGCTGCCAGGGAGAGGGCGGCAAAGGCGACGAGATGAATCTGCAGATTCTGTACGCATTGAAAACTGGCGAACCTTGGCATAACCTAGCCATGCGGATGCTGCTTCTTGCTTCCACTGTGGTGGTGCGACATGTCGTGTCTACAGGTGTGATATGGCTCCTCCTGTGCCCAGTCAGCGCGCTCCTCCTGCCACGGGTGCTGGCGCTGCGCGTGTTCTGGAGGCGAAGGAAAAGGATTTGGTTGCCTTCCGCAAGCAGGTTCAGCAGCTTCCTCGGTCCAAATCGCCTGCGGCTGATTCTCTTGAGCTGCAGCCCCAGACTGATTCGGCAAGTCGCCTTGAGCTGCAGAAGAAGAAAGAATGAGTTGGAACATTGAGAAGGTGTATTGGCGGCACGGGAAATGGCTGCCAAGGTCAAAAGTGTTGAGCATTGTACTGTCTCTGGCTATGCTGATGCTGATACCTCGGTTCGGCAGCTGCGCCAAGAGACTACTGCGTCCAAGCCCTTGGGCACGCAGGTGCATGGCATTGGTGGCGCGCTCCATTGTATCGACCAGCAGATTCCCAAGCTCAAGTTGTCGATCGAGACTGAAGAAAAAAGCGTTTGGCTGAAAAGCAGACGTTGGTTCAGGACCTTCGACAGCAGCTGGGTGAAACAGAAATGGCGCGGGTGCAGCTGCAGCTTGAGCAGATGGAGTTGCCACGGCAGGTAACACTTGAGCAGCATGCTTGTGCCACCTCTGTCCGCGGCACAGCTGTGTTAGAGGCTTTCTCTGCACACTTGGAGCAGCGACAGGCTATTGTGCAGCAGCTGGGTGGCGGTGAACAGTTGGCTGCTCGCTGCGCGTAGAATGTGCAGCCATGGATTGCGGCAGTCAAGATGGCGAGAGACGACCACCTGGAGGTGCAGCGGCTAGGCAGCAGCAGGAGCAGCGGGCTCAGCAACCTTCTTCTGGCGTGGATGCCTCGGTTGCTCAGACGGCCTTTGGTCTGCCTGTGCCCGACGACCTGGGCCTTGAGCACCTCAGGGCCCCCGTCGCCAGTAATGGGGGCAAGGTCGCCGAGGGCGAGGTGGGCGCCAGGGCGCCGGCCAAGCGCCAGCTCGAGTCTTTCAAGCTGCTCTGCTCGAAGAAGATGCGCGCTGGCTCTAGCGCTGGTTCTAAGGGTGGGATTGGAATCAACGGCGGAGCCCACGCAGGATCTCGCTTTTACGTGTCTTCTGATGTCGGCGACGATGTTGAGCAGTTGTGCGCTGACCCTGGAATCGACCTGGATGATTTCTTTGGGCTGCGTGGCGATCGTGCTGGCGCCAGGGCCCTTGGGCCCTCGTCGATTGGTGACGCTCCGCAACTTGAGCAAGCGCCCGCTGATGCCTGGCTACCTTCTTCCCCTGAACGCTCCGCTGCGGCGCAGGATTACACTGCCATGAGAGCAGTCTTGCGGGGGCGGGCAGCGGTCTGGCTTGATGATCATTTGCAGTATTCATATGACAATTCGCACTTGGTAGAGTAGTGTCAGGCTTTCCTCTCGGCGATGTTGGTACGCGGGGGCAATGGCCCCCTCGGGCAGCTGCTGGCGCGTTGGTTTCCTGGCCGAGCCTTCCAGTCCATCCTACAGGAGCTTCGTGGGTCGGCCCGGCGCCACTATGAAGGGCGACGAGGAGCTTGGTCTGTGAGGCTGGCAAACCTTGGTGCTGGTGCACGTCGACGGTTGGAACCGCGCCACTGGCTGGCACTGGCAGAAGAACGGGCCATGCTCCGTCGCCTGCTGGAACCTGATGCACCAGGTTCGCGGCGACCGCCACGACCTAGGCGACCCGACTCGGAGCATGAGCAGGCAGATGATCCATTGCAGGCTGCCGTTGCGCACCTGGTCGCGATCTCCCGAGCGACGGCTTCGGCGCCCTGCGTTGCTGGAGCAGGCGAAGATATCATGGGCAGAGGGGGCAGGGAGTCAGCCCCTGGAAGTCACGCCCCTCTGCCCGCGTGTCCTGCGGCTTCGCGGTTGGCGTCTTCGTCGGGGTGGCCCACGAATCCCCCGGATGGCCAGGGGCGTTCCTCCCCTGGGCCGGGGGCAACCGCAATTTCACCTGCTGGAGTCTGGCGTTAAAGTGCAAAGTCCTAGTGTGGCATCAGGGCTGCTAGGCGCAACGTTGCCACGTATCCTGGAAGGCGTTGATGTGCAACGACCTAGTGTGCCATTTGGGGCTACTTGGCACAATGTCGCCACGTGAATCAGGGGGCCCAGCGGCTGCTCAGGCGTCTGGCGCGGCCGCGGAGGAAGCGACAGTCGCGGGGCCCGTGGCCCCCCCGACTGCCGCGGGCCCCCGTGCGAAGACTGCTGTCGGCGCTGCCGTCGGCGGTGCCGCGGGTCCGAGTTCGGGGGTTGCCGTCGGCGCGGGGGGCGGGGGGCCCGCCGCTGCCTCGCGCGGCGCGGGCTGGGCCCGCTGTCGCGGGGGGGCGGTGGGGGAGCAGCTCGCCGAGAACCTTAAGACCGCACCCCGGGCTTTTCGCCCGCAGGTCAGGGGTGCTGCGACACCGTGGATAACCTTACTGCCGCGGTGTCTGATGGCTTGACACAGCCAACTTTGATGGCGACGCCCGCGGCCCCGAGCATCGCTACGGGCATGGCTACATATACAAGAGGAGCACGAGTTGCCTTGGTGTCCGGCGTGGCCGTGGAGGAAGTGACAGTCGCGAGGCCCGTGGGCCCCCCGGGTGCCTCGGGCCCCCTTGCGAAGTTTGCTGTCGGCGCTGCCGTCGGCTGTGCCTCGGGCCCTAGTTCGGGGGTCGCTGTCGGCGCGGGGGGCCTTCCGCAGCCTCGTGCAGCGCGGGCGGGGTCCGATGTCACGGGAGAGCGGCAGGGGGGCAGCTCTTGGAGCACCTTGAGGCCGCAGAAGTCAAGTTCAAGGGCGAGGTGCTCGCGGCTGATGTCACGTCGCATGGATCGTTGTTTGGGTATTTCCCCGCAATGCAGCAGGCAAAAGATCTGTCCCAGGCTCGGGGCCATGGCTGGCACGGGCCATGGGCCTGCGCTGCACCCAGCCCGACGTCAGCTACGGGCTCGGTCGCAGGCGCTGCAATTCTTGCGCGCACTGCTATCATGATGGCCCCAGATCTTCTCGAGCGGGAGGTGGTCCCAGGATGGCGGCTATTTGTACGTGTTCACGGGGGGGGGCTGGAAGTTTCGCTGCTGGCAGTGTCTATCTGGATACTACGGATCGCGTGGGTACTAACACTGCACATGCGTGGGCAGTGGTTCAAGCGCTGGTCAAGCTTAACAGCGCAGGCCATGAAAGGTTCGTGGGGGGTGACTGAGGCAATGGACTCGCTGCCTTGTTCAGCTTGAAGCGAGCCGCCGCTGCATCGGCCATCCCGCTCTTCCCTGCCACTCCTACCTGTCGGCAAGCTACGCCAGGCACTGTGCTTGACTTGTTCGTCGCGCCGATGAACATGGCATCCAGAGTTGTTACGCATGCGCATGTCGACGAGGGTTCTACCTTGTCCTCGCATGCGGATGATGGCGCAGGGTGTGCCTATCTGGAGGCAGGTTCCCCAGCTGCCCAAGGAGCTGCCTCTTGCGGCACCACCTGGTTGCCCGCGATGCCCTTGTGACTGGGATGCCCAGTTGTTTGCAGATGTGACCGGCGCGCAGGGACGCGCTGCTTGCATAGGTTCCCTCACGCGCGGGGTAGAGCGGGAGCTGACCAACAGGTATGATCGGGTTGGGGCCAGCGCGCCACGGTATATCGGGCGCGCCGGGCACTCTCGCTCCGCGCGGAGGCAACTCAAGTGGCAGGCCCCGCCAGGGCGCTCTCACACAAGCATCCGCGGACTTTGGCCTGGAAACGGCGCTACGATGGATGATGCATTTACAGAGGAACCGCCATCAGCTCCGCACGCTAGCTTCTCGGTTGCAGTCTTCCAATGTGCTGTGTACGATTGGGCCGCAGCGGTGCGCTGTGCTTTTCCAGTCGTTCCACGGGGCCAGAGGTTTCCTCGCGACTTGCACGCGCAGCCGCGTGGTGTTGAGCTACCTTCCACTGCGGCTGCAGCTTTTCTTTGCGTCAGGTTTGGAGGTGCTGGTGGCGCTTGCGTTTCAGTTTCTGTTTGGGCACGTCGGGCGCGAGACCATCGCGGTGCGCAAGAGCGACCCGAAGGCTGCCTACCATGCGTGGATGAAGTTTCAGCGAATGCCCTATCGAGATGGTGGGTCGGTTGCTCATCGGGTCTCTTAGGTTCAGCCCTTGGACCATGTGGTCCCGTTCGCGCGAGACCCGCAGGGCACGCAAACGACGGTCTTGGCCAACAGAGATATGGGGTGCTGGCAGTTGATGTGGGCGCGGCATGGCTGCCCTCCTGTGGAACCGCCTGCGGAGCCGTGAACTGGCCGCTCCTGCCAGCGGTGGGCGCACCAACCTTGCGACGGGTGCTGCTAACCTTTCCCAAGCGTGCGCCACGGGGCCCTACGCCCTGCGCCCACGAATGTTGTGGCACTTATCCGGGATTGCCGTGCTGAGGGGTCAATGTAGTGTTGCGATTTTGCTTGGCCGCACCAAGGCTTTTGATCTGGCTCGACCGTCGCAGCTGTCCAGGGGAGACATCGCTCTTGGCTACCAGCCCAGGATCATGTACATGCACCGTCTCCCGCGTCGCCTGAAGGGACCCGGCACCTACTCAGAGCCGCTGCAGGCCGACCAGGGCGCACTGGCAGGGTGTCCGCATGCGGTTTGCATACATGAGGTTCTGGTTTGGTGGGCGCTCCTTCGGCTCCGAGAAGTTCACGGTGACCTTGTACCTCGTGCGTTGGTGGATGATCTCTCGGTGCAGTATGTTGGTTATGACGCTAATGGTGTCAAGGCTTTGCAGCTTACCGTGGGGCTGTTTCAGGAAGAGCCACGCATCTTGGGGTCTTGCTTCAATGGCGAGGAGTCTGACATTGTCGTCGGCGCGCAGTCTACCAAGCGGCTCGCCAAGGGCTCCAAGTTTTGGTCGCTGGGCTGGACGCGCAATCTAGGCCGCGAGACCATGGGTCTACGACCTCTTCGCCTCCAGGAGAAGTCTCGACTACGGGATCTTCAGCGGCGACGGCATCGGCTGCTGATGTTTCAGAGGGTGGCAGGACGGAAGACCTCTGTGCTGTGGAGGGCGGGCGTTCAGCCTGCCGTTGCTCACGGCGCTGGGGTATCTGGGATGAGTGACAGCGCACTGGCCACGGCGCGCTCAGTTGCAGCGGCTGTGGTTGGAGCGCCTCGAAGGGCGCATAAGACGGCCGATCTATATTTGTCAATGGCAGACTCGTTATAGTCCAAGTTTTGATGCGACGACGCCCCTGTTGCGCAGGTATAATTATTTTGTGTGGGGCACGCGTGATTCTATGAGTGACCTGCGCCACGCCTGGTAGGCGCTGGCTATTCGTATCACTCGCAATAGCTTCACCTGGGCAGGGGTGCGAGGCCCCCTTGGCGCTGCCTACCGCACGCTGCAGTGGATTGGCTGGGTTCTTTGTTTCTCCGCAGCACTGGCGCAGTGATATCGGAGAGGCCTGCGAGTTATCACGCGTGGCACCAGCCGATATGGAAGCATGCTTGGGGGATGCGGTCAAACACTGGCAGATTCAGAAGTTGACGTGCCCCTGGCGGCGCCGATGGGCGCGCTTCGCGGGCTGTGGGCGGATCGATCTCCTACGCCTGCCATCCTTGCCGCTTGGGGGAAAATATGAGCCCCCATTGCTTTGCTCGTGAGCCAAAGGATGGATCAGTCAGGTACATTTGGTGCGAGTGTCCTGCGCTCATGCAGCCCGACGAGAGCGCGTTGCTGATTGGTGCTGAGGTTTTGCGTGGGCGTCCCGCTTCGCATCGGGATGCTCCGCGAGCGATTGGACACCGGCCCCCGTTAGATCCTGACTGCGACACTTTATGCCTTTGTCATGGGCTCCCTAAGCTTTCTCTTCAGCTGCCATCCCCGCCTGGGAGTTCTGAGGTCTGGGATTTTTTTGGAGGGTGGTGGGGGGCGGGGGCCTGTTACCTTTCGGGGGTGGAATTGCCCAGGCCCCTGCGGCGCCAGAGGTTCGTAGGGATGAGTGGGCCATGGTTTAATTGAGTGCGCAGCTTTTTCCCTTTAGCGTTGTTTCTCGGCCGCCAGAGGGAGCTGTCCAAACGGCGGGTCGCGCGGAGAGAACCGCGCTGCCCCAGGCCCCTCGGCGAAGCCCATCCCTGGACATTGTCGTTTCGGACCTGCTTTCGCTGGTCCAAGAAGGTCAGGCGCGGGGCACTGAGTATGCATGCGGCATGAAGAAGTATGCTGCGATTCGGCGTGCTGTTTTTGCGACGGCCAAGCTACGGCCCACAGATGCTTCCCCTATCTCGTTGCACCTGCGCACCTTGGGTTCGAGGATGTCTCGGGGCGAGGGATCGACCCTGTCGCGTGGACTGGCGGCGCGTGTGCTGGCCTGTTTGCGAAGCTTGCCTCGACGCCTGTCATGGTTGCCCGTGCGTCTGCGGAGGCAGTGGCGCTCAAGTTTCACCAGGCCATTGTTGATAGCGTTGCCTGGGTTGCTGCCGGTGTCGTCAGGTGGAAGAGGTGGACGGACACTCCGCCGCCCCCTGATGCCTATAAAGACCCTCCACTGCCGCGGCTCACCCTGCGCGGACATTCCCTAGTGCAGAATGACGCCACTGGCGAGGTGCGTTGCGTCTCGTGCTTTGTGGGTGCCTGGGCGACCGGCGCGCTGAATCACCCGTGCAATGGCCCCTCCAAGATTTGTCGGCCCACGGCGGTCACGGCCTTAGAAGGCCAAGAGTGGCTCCGTTCCTGCGGGGCTCGAGCTAGGCCTGTGAAGGCCGACGCCCTGGCGAACGCAGACCAAGCCCCTGTGGCTGCTAGTGCGCCTCCACCTGTCCCCCCGTCTGGGAACCCGTTTGGTGACGAGGGGGCCGAGGCCATCCGTTCCTCAAATGAGCGCGGTCAGTTGGCCCAGAGGTCTGGCCGAGTTATAATATGCGCGAAGTGTGCTGGGCTCCTGGTGCTGCCTCATGGGGTCGAGAGAGCCTTGAAGGCTCCTTGCAGGGGGGGCCCTCCTCAGTCCCTTCGGCCAAGGCCGCCAAGGGCGCGCATCCGATTACAGGCAAAGCTCTGTCGGAGGGTGGCGCGGCCTCGCCCGACCCAGTGCCTGGCCTGTCGTCTATGCGCGTCCGAATGGAGGAGGCTGATCTCGGGAGGGTGGAGGCTCCGGTGGAGCAGGCGGCGGACGGGAGTTCTGGTGATTCTGATTGCTTCATGGTATCGGCGACGACGGTGGGTTTTTTCGTGTTTTTTTGCCGTTGCCTGCTGATGCCCATGGCGGTAGTTCTCCCACACCTTCAGCCTGCGGGTGTCCGTTACCCTGCGGGCGCTCTCCAGTCGGCGCCCACCTCCTCCTCCTCCTCCTCTTTTTCCTCCTCCTCCTTCTCCATTCCTTCTCCTTCTATAACTCCTCCCTGTCGCACCCCGAGGCCAGTTTTTAGGGCGGGTGGGGCGTTTCGCTTGAGACTTCGTCACCAATTATGATTCTGAAGCTTAAAAAGTGACAGCAGTTTCGAACATGGAGGGCGGATCGCTTTCAACATGTGGCCCCCGCCGTATCCTTTTGTATATTTGCAAGAGCTTCGCGGATTGAGGGCGGGTCGTTTTCAAAATGTGACTGTCGCCCCAGTGCCGCGCACATTCTTTGTAAATGTGTGCAAGAGTTTATCGGGTTGAGGGCGGGTGGTTTTCAAAATGCGGCTCTCGCTTTAGCGCCGTGCCAGTCGTTCTGAAACATTGCAAGAGCTTCACGGATTGAGGGCGGGCCGTTTTCAAAATGTGGCTCTCGCCTTAGCGCCGCGCACATAAAACAACATATGCAATATTTTCACATATTGAGGGCGGCTCCATTTCAAAATGTGGCTCTCGAATGAGCGCCGCGCACATTCGTTTTAAACAGTTGCAAGAATTTCACGGATTCCCATGGTCAACGTACCAGAAAGTGTGTTTGGGAAAGGTTCAGGATCATGCGGGTGCAACAGATATGTTGCTTCGCGGTGTGGAAATCCAGACAATGGCGTTATGGCACGGCTCCGGATCGCCAAAACGCAGCAGTCAGGTTGATACGTGGCGTTGAAATCCCGAGAATGATGTTTTGGCATGGTTCAGGATCTTCAAACGGTTGTCTTCCAACGAGGCAGTTCCGGGATCCTGGGATCCTCTTGGGGCCCTTTTGGAGGGTTTTTGTTCCCTCTCTGGAAACTCTTGGAGCCCTCTTGGGGGTTTCTTCAGATCCCTGGAGGGCCTCTTGAGGCCATCTTGAAGGCCATCGATCAAGAGGGGGGGTCCTCGATTTGCCTTGCCCCCCCCAGGGGCCATCAAAATTGATTCCTGGGCGTTCTTGGGGCGCTCTTGCCCCGTTCTTGGGCGCTGTTGGAGCCTTCTGAGGGGCCCCTTGGGCCCCTCCTTGGCCGTCCTGGGGCCATTTGAGACCTCAGAAGCGCGCCGGGAACGAGAAGGCGAAAAGTCATAAAATATGGATGTTCTTATGGTTTTGTAAGGTTTGTTGCCTCTTGGGGGGGTCCTGATCGGGCTCCGAGAGCACTTGGAACCGCCTTCTGGCCCCCTCTCGGAGGCATTTCGGGAGCTATCTTGAACCATCCTCGGCTATCTCGAGCCATCATGGAGGCCATTTTGGGGCATCGGAGACCCTCTTTGGACCATCTCGGATCCCCTGACGCTTCGCGGCCCGCCCGAGGAGGCCTTAGGGAGGGCAGGTGGAGGGTACCCCTCCCCGAAGGGAAGAGGGTTCTTGGAAGAAGAAGGAAAGAGATCGCTAGACCACCTTACCCCAAAGGGCTGATGGGATTATTCTGAGCGGTCCAGAACCCCCTTCCCCCCCCCCGCCGCCCCCCCCCCCCCCTGGGAAAATTGTTCGAGGGGTCCAGAATCCCCCCCCCCGCCGCGGCGACGACGACGACGACGCCGTCGCCGCCGCCGCTGGCAAACGACGCGGACGACGGCGACGGCGACGACGACGACGACGACTGACAACGGACGACGGACGACGGACGACGACGGACAACGGACGACGGACGACGGACGACGGACGAAGGACGACGACGTCGACGACGACGACGACGACGACGGACGACGACGGACGACGACCACGACGAAGATGACAATGACGACGACGCCGACGACGCCTACGCCGTCGCCGACGACGGCAGCGATAACGACGACGCCGAATGACGTCGCCGCCAGCAAACGACGACGATGGTCGAGCCTTAGTGGGATGCAATTGCTGCTGGGTCGAACCCTAGCACCCGAGTAGGATTCTGTTATATTTGGATCAAGCTCGAATAAGGTTTTACATATATGCGCCGGTCGCTGAAAGTAGGCATTGCTGGATTCCCGGATCCCAATTTCATTTTAGCCGCCTTGCTACTTCAGAAGTCGAGTGGCTTTCCCTCATCCCTCAGCTCCAGGGGGCGGGCGGACACCCAATCTGCTTCCAACGCCTTCCTACTTTCTGGTTCTACTCACTTCTTCCGACGGATGGGCCTATCTATACAGGAGTTCCAGAAAGGGTCTTGCCTTCGAGGATCGATAGAGTTGTCATCTCTGCCGCGGCGGCAGTGCGGCGGAAGGGCGGCCGAAGGTCGGCGGAAGCAGAACGAGGCCGCCTCCGCCGGCGGAGGTCGGCAGAAGCTCGGCGAAAGGCGGCGGAGGTAAGAGATGTGGCCCCCATAGATGAAAACGTGTCTGGGCTCAGGGTTTTCGACGCGTGTATATATATAGAGAGAGATGTATAGGTGTATATATATACATAGGTATATGCAGATATATATATATATATATATATATATATATATATATGTTTGCATCTAAATATAAAAATATGGGTGTGTATTTATATATATATATATGTATATATATGTGTGTGTGTGTACACGCCCAGGTCCAGGGGAAGAGGCCGAACGCCCAGAACCGCCACGCTTCGAGTACTTAGGGGGTCGACTCCAGAATCGACTCACCCAACAACTGATGCCCCGTCAAATCGACGAAGCATACGTACGATGCTCCGCAGATCTACGGGCCATTCCACGTGCCTTCTCAGGGGCTCGACGAGGACATCTACGGACCATTCCTGCGCACGCTTTCTCCTGGGCTCGACGGGGCACGCCATTCTGGGGCAAGAAGCGATTCTGCAGTCCGTCCTCTCTGCTCGAGCCCTGCGCGCCCTGCGCGCCCTCCTCCCCGCCGAGCCCCGCTCGCGGCGCAGATCCTGCGGGGCGCCGAGGCCGCGGCGGGGGCCCCGGCGGGGCGCGCCGCGTGCCGCGGCGCCGCCGCGGGGGGCTCTGGCGAGCGCGGCGCCGAGGGAGCCGCTGCGCCGGGCGAGGGCGAGGCGGCGGCGGGCGTGGGCCCCAGGGTCCTCCGGCTCCTCCTCCTCCTCTCCTCCTCCCTCCTCCTCCTCCTCCTCCTCCTCCTCCTCCTCCTCCTCCTCCCTCCGCCTCCGCCTCCGCCTCCTCCTCCTCCTCCGCCTCCTCCTCCTCCTCCCTACCTCCTCCTCCTCCTCCTCCTCCTCCTCCTCCTCCTCCTCCTCCTCCTCCTCCTTCTCCTCCAAGGAAGAATCACGGCGGGAGGTGTTCCGCTACTTCGGGCCTCGGGGGGCCTTTCTCCGGGCCTCGGGGCCTTCCACGAGCGCCTCGGGATCGGAGGGAGGAGAAGCGATACCAACACCACCAGGGGGCCCACCTCCAGCGAGGAGGTCCACGGTGCCTCCCCGATCGAGAGACTGGGGATGTCTCGAGCGAGAGGGGGGGACCACACCACCAGGTAGGCTCCCCTTACCTCCGCGCATCTCCTCGCCATGTTGGTGTTGGTGTCGCCTTTCCTTGTTCCTATCAGGATGAATCGGAGGTTGATAGACCTCCTACCCTGACACGTCGATGAGCGAATTGGCCGTTTGCGGTTCGCGAGGGGGCGGCGCGGCCGTCATGTTTGCGGGTCCAGGTCCGTCGGTTTCGGTCCCAGGCCTTTTTCACTAAAGGGAGGTTTGCTAAAGGAAGGTTTGTCCACCGCCGAACGCCGAATGAAGAGCCGGTCCAGGGGATGGGGTCGAGACCGCGAAGGGTCGGCGCTAGGACAAAAAATCATGGCCCGCGGGGGTCTGGGGTGCCTGCCAGAGGCCAGTGAGGACCGCGGCGGAGGCGAGGGCGCCGGCGCGGGGGGCCCCGAGCGTGGCGCCGGGGGGGCCGAGGCGCCCGGAGAGGCGGCGGCGGACGCGGTGCGGGGAAGCGTGTGAGGCTCGAGTCCTTGCGCCGGAGCTCGGGCGCGCCGGCGCGCTTTGACGAGCGCGTCCTGGACTCTGGCCGTCCAGTTTTCGCGACGGATGTCTGCAGCGGGAGCTCGCGCCAAGTTTCAGCCTCGGTCTCGTCGTGTTCAGGATGGCCCCGTCAGGCCAGGGCTGGACCTAACCGCCGTTTTGCCTGACTTCTTCGCTTTGGCAGGGAGGTGCAGTAGAAACAAAGGTGGGGAAAACGAAGACCAAACGAGCAACAAAACGAAACACAAGGCTCAGGTCCAGCCCTGCGCCAGGCCAGCCCGAGCCCCCCGAGCCCGAGGCTTGCGTCTCCTCGAGCGGCGGGCGGCAGGGAGCCCTCGCCGGGCCGAGGGGGCGCTTGCCTGCCGGAGGCCAGCGGGGCCCCCGCGGCGCAGGCCAGGGCGGCACCCGGCCGACCTCGGAGGGGCCCGCGGCCGACGCGGGCCGCGGCGGGGCGCCCTCGCTGGGCCAACGGGGGTGCCTGCTGGAGGCCAGCGGTCTGGGCCTCCCGTCGGTCAGAGGAGGAAAAGGTACCCACACCCCTACTCTCCGCCCGTTTTCCCCTTTGTGGGTCTCCTCGGAGGCCCTCGTCGCCACCGCTGGATTCGCCTCGAAAGTCTGGTCAGGACGCACCCCGGGAGAGCTCCAGGGAGTAGCGGTAGCCGTACCTTTTTTTGGTCTCCCCAATCGGGGGCGGCAAAGAGGGGGGTGACGCCTAGGGGGTGGTGGTTATCACGGCGGGGGCCACGACATCTCCCCAGGTTTCAGGGCGTCTCGTCTCATGTCATTGCGTCCCCCCCCCCCCATGGGCCGCGCACATGCCGCCGGTCATGATTTGCGCCCCCCCCCCCCCCCTCTTGGCCGCCCCCGATCCCAGGTGTTGTCCGAGCAGGCGGGGTTGAAGGACCGCGCCACCTCGCTGATGCATCGGTGATGCGGCTCGACGCGAAGCCCGATCTTCTCCACGTCGACGTCACAGGTAATTGCATCTCAGCGACTTCGTCGGTGCGTCGCCGATGCGGAGTGATCCTTCGACTCCAGCTACTCGGACCACATGTGGGAGACCTCTGGGTGAGGCCTACAGCGGAGGTGAGGGCGGCGGAGGTGTCGGAGGGTGCTCCCTGCTGACCTTTGAACGGCCAGCGGTGCGGTTGATGGCGAAGCTGACCGCGGCGGACGAGATGGGTGGCCTCTGAGGAACACTTCGAGCACGTCGTCTTCGGCACCGCCCCAGGAGGACGCTCTTGCGCGGTGCTCGCGGAACTGCGGGCGGCGGGGAGCTTGCCAGCCCGCGGACTGCACGGCAGAGCGTGCACAGCGGAGGTTCTTCTCAATTACCGCGCCCGGGGGGCGCTTCCTGGCTCCCGTGGGGACCGTCAGTAAAGCGATCTGGGACGAGGGGCCTGTCCCCCGGGAGCGGGAGGGAAGCGCTCCACGTGGCTCGCGCATTGGAAAGGTCAAGATCGTCGATCGAAGCTCTCTTCACGCTCCATGTCTCTTCTGCTGCCTACCACCCAGAGTTGGACGTCGGGCCAGAAACCTTGCCGCCAGAGGCCAGCTGTTTTCTATCGCTCCCCGCAATTCGGGTGTTGTGTGCAGCGCGCACACGGATGTGCGAGTGGGATGTTCTGGCTGAGCTCCAGCCACGTGCACATTCCGACGCCACTCTGGCGCGCAGGGCATCGGCTTGAAACTCCTCAGCTCGCGGATGACATCACACCGCCCGCCGGGCAGCTTCGCCAGGGAGTCGATGTAGCCTTGCTGCTTTGCTATTGTTGTGGGGTCGTCATCAGACACCGCCTGGGGCCGTTCGGAGGCACTACTGGCGGGTGTCTAACTTGTGCTGCGGACAAGAGAGAGGCTCAACCCGCCTCCTTGCGCTGACGGGAGGCAGATGATCTTAATCGCACCCGCCCTGTGTTCCGCTAAACGCTTCGATCAACGGTCGCTCGTGCCTGACGTTAGTCGGGTGCGGCGCTCGCTCTGGGCAGAAGGGGGATGAGGAGGAGGAGGAGGTGGAGGTGGAGGTGGAGCAGGAGCAGGAGCAGGCTGAGGTGAGGATCGATGATGAAGTCATGGGTTGGATGCTTGGGTTCGATGGCGCAGTCCGGTCAAAGTTCCTCTGGTCACCTGTTTCATGTGCCTCAGCCTTCCGCGCCGTCTCCATGCGCGTATCAGTGCGCGACAGACGCCACGAGCCCCGAGGATCTTATGCCAGCAGAAGGATGATGAGGAGGAGGGGCGCAGAGGCCTTCAGCAGTCTCCATTCGTCTCCAGGGGTCTCTAGAGGCTGCCAGAAGCCTACGGAGGCCCCAGGGGCATGGTGGAGGAGGGATGAGGCAAGGGGGAGGCAGGACAAGGAGGAGCGCGGTTGCAGAGCTTCTGCCCCCCGCAGGCGTTATGGCGATGCGCGCCGGCCTGCGCCTGGCGCACCGGCGCTTCAGCAGCAAGCCCGTGCCCCTCGGAATGGACAGCCCGCAGGCATGCGGGGTTCCAGGGTCGAGGAGGCGGGGGTAGGGATGAGGGGGGTGGGATGGGGGAGGGGGGGGAGGAGGAGGAGCAAGAGGAGCGGGAGAGCGCATTCAGCCGAGCCCACCTCAGGTGAGGGTGTGTCACTACTAGTAGTAGTGGAGCTGGTCGCAGTAGTAGTCGTCGTCGTAGTAGTGGTTTTGTTGCTCGTTATGTTTGTAGTTGTCGTAGTGGTAGCGGAACTACTTTCAGCAGCTCCCATTGGCACGCCTCGCTTGTCAACGGCATGTTGGGTAAAGGAGGGGGAAGCGAGGAAACACGGAGGGGGAAGGAGGAAAGGAGCAATGAAGGAGGAGCAGGGGGTTGAAGAGAATGAGACGGAGGAGGAGGAGGAGGAGCAGGAGACGTGACATACTTCATTCAGCGGCGGGTTTGCAATTCGATTCCTTGTGTGGCAGTTGTCTGATTAGATTTCCTGCTGTAGGGTTCTGGAGATTCTAGTTACCCCAGTTATACGTTTATTAATATACATGTGTGCTGCAGCGTGGGCCCCGAACATTGTGTTCAAGCCTTTGCAATCTGCGCTGCGATATTATACAGATGTAAATATGCACATGTGTGGTGTAAATTGTGTGGTGAATATGTTTGGTGCCAACTATGTGATGTAAGCTATGTGGTGCAACTCTGGTGCACTCTGTGTGTTGCAATATCTACATATATGTGTATATATTTATGTGTGTGGTGCAAATTCGGTGGTGCATTGTATACCGTGCGCTTTGTGTGGTGCAATTTCTGTGATGCAATCGATGTGGTTCAATGTATATGGTGCAAGCTATGTGGTGCAATCTGTGTGGTGCCAGTTGCTTGGTACTGTCTGTCGAAGACGCCTACGGCGAATCACCGCCGCCCCCTGCCCTTCGGAAGCGCGTATGTGGCAGACAGCTGGGCAAGGGCTTGGCCAAGCTATCGGGCCAGTTGTTCCCCGAATCGGTTTGGAAAGCCTTCGGGGAACGCGTGGGGGAGCAAGTGGAGGAGGATCAGGAGAGGGATGATGATGATGATGATGATGATGATGATGATGATGATGATGCTGATGCTGATGCTGATGCTGATGCTGATGCTGATGCTGATGCTGATGCTGATGATGATGATGGTGGTGGAAGTGGATGATGATGATGATGATGAGGAGGAGGAGGAGGAGAATCAGGATGAGGATGATGGGGAGGAGGAGGAGGAGGTGGAGGAAGAGGAGGAGTAGGAGGAGGAGACTTCTTGGTAACCTCTTGGGAGGCCTCTTGGGGGGCCTCTTGGGAGACCTCTGTGGAGCTTCCTGGGAGCCTTTTGGAGGCCTCTTGGCACCCTCCTTGGGCCTCTTGGGGGCCTCTTGGGGGCCTCTTCGGCCGTCTTAGGGTGTTCCTAACCCGTCGGACGCCGTCGAAAGCCGTCTTGGGGGCCTCTCTGAACCGACTTGGGGCCCTCTTCGGGCGCTTCAGGGCTGTCTTGGAGACCATCTTGGGCGTGTTGGAGGCCTGTTGGGCCGTCTTGGGGCCCTTTTGGGGCCGTCTTGGGGGCCTTGGGCTGTCATGGGGCCATCTTTGAGGCCTCTTGGGCAAGCTTGGGGCGACCTTGGGGGCCTCTTGGGCCGTCTTGGGCCGTCTGGGTGGTTGAAACGACAGCATCCGTCAAAAACCTAAGGAACATCAAGGATTGGCCTCTTCGAGCCTTGGTGGAGGACCTCTTGGGGGCCTCTTGGGGGTCTCTTGGGCCGTGTTGGGCCATCCTGAGGCTATCTTAGGCCGTCTTGGGTGCATCTTGGGCTGTCTTTGAGGCATCTTGGGGCCATCTTAGCCGTCTGGGAGGCCGTCTTGGCCGTCTTGCAGGCATCTTGGAGGCCAGCTTGGGCCATCTTGACCGTCTTGGAGGCCATCTTGGACCGACTTGGATGATTTGTTGGGGATGTTGTGCGCGATTGCGCGGCCTTCTGGGTTGCCGGCGGGACGGGCCGAAGCCCCATGGGGATTTCTTTTGGAAAAAGAGCCCAAACCAAACCAGTAGGATCTAGCACGCAGGGCACCCTTGTGGCAAGACCACAGGGGGCGGCGGATCTAGTGGCTGGGAGAAATATCAAGGGGGGTGTGGGGGGTAGGCGAAACGGGACGCGGATCTAAGGGCCCAAATGTTTGCAATGTTCGGCCCAAGATGGCCCAAGTCAGCCCCAAGAGCGCCTCAGAGGCCCCCGAGACTGTCCAAGACAGCCCCCCCCCAACAAAAACAACTGTCCAAAACAGCCCCAAGAGCGCCCAAGCTACCTCCAAGACGGCGTCGGAGAGGTCCAGACGGCAGATTTGTTATTGAAATGCACGTGGTCTAACAAAACTCTTCCGCCGCCAGAGCCCAAAAAAGCCACGGCAGGGAAGCCTGGCGACGAGATTGAGGGCGACGTCCTCGAGGAGGCTCTGCCGGACGACCTCGACGACGATGGCCTCGAGAGGTTTTTTGACAGGTTGGAGGATAAAAGCGTTTGGAGTGGTCCCTCGAGCAAGCCAAGGTGTCGGGGGTGGACAGACCTCCCACCCTGACACGTCGATTAAGGAACTTGCTGTTTTCGGTTCGCGAGAGGGCGTCGCGGCCGTCATTTTTGCGGGTCCAGCTCCGTCGGTTTCGGCCCCAGGCCGTTGTCATTAAGGGGGGGTCTATTAAAGGGAGGTTTGTCCACCGCCGAAGGTGGCTGGCAGGCACTTCCAGATCACTGTCCGTAAGTGTAAGTGGATTCGTTTGCATAAGGCCAGGGACTTCGATTATGTCCGCGCCTACGCCAGCGGGGGGAAGGCGCGCGAGTGGTGCGTGCAGTATGGCTTGAACTACACGTGATTTTCATGTAGAGGAGTTTGGGAGCTCCCGGGAGGCCTTCGTCTTGGCGCGCGCCTTGTGCAGCCGCCTCCAATCCTATTACAACACATGGGCAGCGCAGCCAGACAGGAGGCACGACTTCACAGACGCTGACGACCCCGCCTTGCCCGCAGAGTATGCCCAGCTTCTGGAGGCCCTCCCGGCTCCGCTCGGCTTGAAAGCGTCTGCCAAAGTGACCAGCCCGAGGCCGCGGCGCGTGGCCGGCTGACGATGGCGCCCCTTATCCCCGCCATGCTTCGGGCGAGGTCCTCCCATGGGTCGCGACAAAAAATCCGTCGCCTGGTCCCTGACGACCGTCGCCGGGCCCCGGTGTCGTCGCCCCTTCCTGCCAGGGCGCGCGCGCGACCTCGTCGTCTCTCCTGAGGAACCTTTTTGCGTTCCTACTGTCGAGGGCCCTCTTAAGCTCCAATTCACTCCGCCCCCCCGAACGGAGAAAAAAAAACAAACAACAACAAGAAAATTGAAATTCTTTCAGAATTCACCGCTCAAGACTTGCAGTGTGTCGCGCAGATTGCCCTCCCGGAAACATTCTCTTTGTTTACACTGCAAATTTCACCGGGAAATTCACCGAGGATGAGCGGTCGGTCTGGGGCACGTCGGCGTGCCACCTCGGGCCGTGGGCCCCGGGCCGCATCGGTCTGGGGCCCTCGCGCAGGGTTCTATGGGCCCGTGCCTGGGGCCCAAGCTCCCGGGCCTTCTCCTCGGGGGAGTCGAAGGAGGGCGCGCGTGCCCGGTCGCAGTCTGCAGCGCCGTCGCCGTCGCAGGCCCCGTCCAAGCAGCTCTTCCTCGTCCGCGGCCATCCGCACTGCTGCGCCCTTCCTCAGTGCCTCAAGAGTTGCAGCGATTCTGGAACAACTACCGAATTCGGCCCTTGCGCGTTGCAATGGCGAGCTCGGGTTCGGCAGGCGCGCAGGCGAAGGGCGCGGCTCTGGCGGCCGCCCAGTCCGCCATGCCCAAGAAGAAAGCGAGGGCGTTGGAGCCCCAGGACAGCGTTGTCCTTGCGCTGGGGGCGGGGGGGGGCCGAACGGGTTTGGCTGGGGCGAAAGGTCGGCCGTGAAAATTTGCTTTGCCCCCCCCCACGCTTTCGGGGAACTTTCTGGGCAAGGCCCCTCGGTCGTCCATGGGGGGTAAGGGTTTTCCGGGGTTTCATGAGCAGTGTTTTTTTTTGTTTCTTCTCTTCTCTTTTCTTTCGGTGCCTCTTCCAGGGCGCTCTAGGAGAAACAAAACAAAAAAATGTAAACCAACCATAGTTGTTTGTGACTGGTTTGAACTGTTCGGCGAGAGTGGCGCCGCGCCATCATGCTCCCAGGGGCGCTCTTCCAGCGATTCGAACCTGAAGGGGGGCTCGTGCTCTCGTCTCTGTCCGCCCCCCGCCCCCTCGCCGCTCCCTCGTGACCTTGCTCCATCGCCCCTGCCCCCCCCCCCCCGGCTGTGTCCTTCCTCTCTCGGGGCGACGCGCCGCCGACAGCTGCGGCCCTCCCGCGCCCTGACGCTCTCGAAGAAGCGCAAATGATATTGGCCATCGCCGCGAGCCTTCACCACGGGACAAACAGCGAGGAAGGGGGGCGCCCGACCACGAGGAGGGGGAGGAAGCGGAGGTGGAGGAGGGTGGAGGGGAAAACGCCCCATTGCATCTTCAGCACATCCCTGGCGTGGCGTTTGGCTGTCCGCAGCAGATCCTCACCGACATGATCCTTCTACCTGTCTTGTACATGCAGGCATTCTGGCGTGCGCCAGCGCTGCGTTGCACGCGGATGCCGTTGCGTAGACAGGCGCTGCGGCGTACGCAGGCGGCCCGGTGCACGGAAGCATTGTGGTGTGGACATGCGTTGCGTTGCACATTGCTGCTGCGGCGTACGCATTCGCAGTGATGTGCACCGAGCGACCGCCCAAAACGTTGCGCGTTGGGGCATTGGACAGGGCTGGTGCCTTCCGCTTTCATTGAACTCGCAAGACACGGCCTTTCGTACACATGCAATGTTGCACGGTTTGCTCGGACTTATTTTTACCTAGCAGCGAAAACTGATAGGTTTCTAGTGGTGTCAAAAGAGAGCATCTGATGACTCAGAAGGGAGGTCTGGGTGGCATCCGGACAGCGAGGGCCGTGCTCAGGGCCGGGCTCGCTTTAAGCAAACAGTCGCACACTTCGTGCTCTTCGACCTCCCAGAACTCCATTCCCGGGACACATTTTAAATGCCCGAAGCCAACTTTAGGCCACTTCGTGTTCTACGACTTCCCAGAACTCCATTCCCGGGCCACATTTTGGATGCTCGGAGCCATTTGTAGACCACTTCGTGCTCTTCGACTTCCCAGAATTCCATTCCCGGGCCACATTTTGGATGCTCGGAGCCAACTGTAGGCCACTTCGTGCTCTTCGACTTCCCAGATCTCCACTCCCGGGCGACATTTTCGATTCCCGGAGCCAACTGTAACCCACTTCGTGCTCTTCGACTTCGCAGAACTCCATTCCCGGGCCACATTTTGGATGCCCGGAGCCAGCTGTAGACCACTTCGTGCTCTTCGACTTCCCAGACCACCGCTCCCGGGCCACATTCTGAATGCCCGGAGCCAACTGTAAGCAACTTCGTGCTCTTCCACTTCCCAGAACTCCACTCCCGGGCCACATTTTGAATGCCCGGAGCCAACTGTGCGCCACTTCGTGCTCTTCCATTTCCCAGACTTCCGAGACTCATCATTTTCATCATCATCGCCATCGTCCCCGTAGCTTTCTTGGCTACAGCCCTGCTTTCGAAGATTTCCTTTTAAAGGAACCGCGCAGCGCCTACTGCACACCTTAATGCCAGGACATGCTGATAGTTTTCGGTCTGGCGGCGGTGCTCGTGACCCTGCTGCATTGAACAGCGGTGCTCCTCAGCCTGCGGCAGGGAACAGCGCTGCTCTTCAGCGTGCTGCATTGAGCGGTCCTCTGCAAACGTTCGTCGGGCACGTGAAGCAGTTCGGCCGGATACCGAAGCGAAATAAAAGAACGTCCGAACAAGAACGGGCCGAAAACAAGTTGGCCGAACGTTTTTCTGACCATCGCGACCGCACCCCCAACAAAAACACTGCTAGCACATCCGTTGATAGCAGTGTCTTGTTTAGACCTCAATGCATTTATACAAAGATCTCATTTGGAGATACCGTTATCGAAAGCAGTGTTTCTACTGCTACTACCACTGCTCCCATCATTCCTACTCGTTCACTCCACGCACTACAACTACTACTTCACTGTTACCACTACTACCATCACTACTACTTCTACTGCTACAACTATTGTTACTAGTACTGCTGCTGCTGCTGTTGCTGCTGCTAGTGTAGCTATTGCTACTGCAACTACTGGCAGTGCCACTGCGACTGCCGCTGATGTTGCCACTGCGACTGCCACTGCGAATCCGAATGCGACTGCGAGAACACCAGAATTCTACAACAGCTTTCTTACATGAGTACCACAGGCAATGTTTCCAGCTACGCATCGCTGTTAGGTTGCTTGGCTGGGATAATTTTAAATAGGCCCTGTCGCTCGCGAGAGGGGCCCCGAAGGAACGCTGTTTCTCCCCCCCCTCCTCCTTCGCCCCCCTGGTCGGCCGCCTTCTTCCGCCGTCGTCGATCCGCCCCTGGGGCGTGAGAAGGGGGGAACCGTGGCCGCCAGGGCACCGAGGCGGAGACGAAGAAGTCCGCGCGCGACAACTCTCCAAGGGGCGGTCGCAGCGCGACGCGGGCGTCGCCGCGGGGTCCGACGGCGCGACAGCCCAGGGGGGCCGTGCGTGAGCAGATCCACAACAACGAATTGGACAAGAACAAATACCCGCTCGGAGGTACCTTCTACATGCAGGCGAAGGCCAGCCGCCCGAAGTCCGCCGGGGACCCAGAGTTGCCACTGGGCAGCGGCGGGGCCGCGAGAACTTGAGGGCGGCTCTCCAGGAGGCGAAGAACAGCGACTACCGCGCCAGGGGCCCGGCGATGAACGTCATCGACAGCATGGCCAACCCGACCACCGAGGAGAAGAACGAGATCCTGAAGTTGTTCCTGGCCCTCGGGATGAAGTGCTCGAAGCACCTCGCCCGCGGCGAGACCCTCGTGGAGAAGTTCATCCAGTGGGACTTGATGGCGGACCCAGGGCGGCGGCCGAGCGCCTTGCGCCAGGTGGGCCCGGCGCTCCTGGAGGCCCGCGGCCTTCCGGAGATGTCATCGCCATCCCCCCCCTTCCCCGCCCCCCCCCCGAAACCTCGACGGATGGGGCTCTCTTCGCCGCGGAAGGATTCGCTTTCGAAGCGCAGGGGCGCCCGGGGAGCTAGTTCCAGGTCCGCAAGAGGGCCCAGAACTGCGGCGTGCAGCTCATCCCGTGGATGAAGGCGCATTGGGCGGCGCTGTCCTTGATGGCCCCGAGCGAGAGGCTGCCCCGCCTGCGCAACTGCGCAAACCGCCAGCGGCGCGCCGTCGAGGCGGCGTTGTCGGCCGCGGCGGGGGCGCTGATCGGCAAGGGGCTCTTCGGTTCCCCTTGCAAGCAGGTTGCGACCGAGAAGGTCGGGAAGCTCCTCGCGGCCGGTGCCCGGGCCGGCCTTCGGAGAAGCGTCGCGCCGCAGACGCACATATCGGCGCAGTGCGCAGTTTTGCGCCGCACAAGGGGCGTTCCTGAATAGCGCCAGCCGCGCTGCGAGGCCATGTGTTCGGGGGGGTTTTCGGGCGCGCAGGTCGGCCCCGGTCAGAGTTTGCGAGGCCCTTGCGAGGGGGCTTCGTGGGCAAGGTCCCCCAGTCGCCTTCGGGGGCTATGGTTTCCCCGCGAGTTCACAGGCAGCTCCCGCGGCCATCGTTTCGTTGCGTTTTTTTGAACCGGTGTGGGAGTAAAGCTCGGCCATTCATAATTTTGTTGGGACCCTTTGGGGGGGGCGGGGCGGGGGGGGGGGGCGAGGGGGCCGACGGGTGGCCGACGGGGGCCGAGGGGGGCCGCGGGGGACTAAGGGGAACCGAGGGGGCCCAAAGGAGACCGAGCGGGGACCGAGGGGGGCCGATGGGGGGGCCGAGGGGGGCCGAGACCGACGGGGGCCGAGGGGGGCCGAGGGGAATTAAGAGGGGCCGAGGAGGACCGAGGGGGGGCCGAGGAGAGACCGACTGGGACCGAGGAGAACCGAAGGGGAATAAAGGGGGGTCGAGAGGGGCCCGGGGGGGGCCGGGAGGGGCCGAGGGGGGCCGGCAGGGACATGCTTAGCGGGCAAGGGTTCGTCGCAAAGTTTCCAGGGGGCGCAGCCGGTCCTGCTCGCTGGCCTTGCCGGGGGGCTCCCGAGAGGGAAAGGTCAACCAGTCATAGTTGTTTTGAAACGTTAACTTCGAACTCCCTCTGCGGCGCCGGGGCCACGTGAACGTAAACTTTCCGAGGTCCGCGCGGATTTCGTGGATCGGCGCTGGGCCCCCTTCCCGGGCGCTCGGGGCGCGCCGGGGGCGGCGCCGGAGGCGCCGCCGGGCTGAGAAATCGCGCGGGGGGCGGCGCGACCCGAGAAATCCGCGCGGCCCTCGGAAAGTTCACGTTTACATTTTTTCTTCCACTGCCCCCCCCGCCCCTGCTGCCCGAGAGGTGGAGGGGGGGTTCTTCCTCGGCATGTCCGGGTCCCGCGGCGAGGAGATCGCGAAGCGCCGCGTCCTCGACCAGCAGCCCGACGCCGGTCGCCCGATGGAGCTCGACGCGTTCGCTGGGCGGCTCAAGAGGTTCATCGCGGGGCCGCTGGTGGCTTTCGCGCTGGCCGCCCTGGCGGGCGCCCTCCAGGTGCCCCGCGGGGCCGCGACGAGGGCGAAGCGGGCGGGGCTCGCCAGCGACCGACAACCTCAGCGAGGCGAGGGTCGAGGGCCGGAGGGCCAGAGGGCTCGGGTGCCCGAGGGCTCGAGGATGCGGGGGCTCGAGAGCTCGCGCTCGAGGGCTCGAGGGCTCGTGGATTCGAGAGCTCGGGGGCTCAAGGGCTCGAGGGATCGAGCGCTCGAGGGCTCGAGGGCCCCAGGGCTCGAGGGCTCGAGGGCTAAAGGACTCGAGGGTTCAAAGTTTTGCGGGCTGGAGGGCTCGAGGCCTCGAGGGCCAGAGGACTCGAGGGCTCGCGAGCTCGAGGGTTCGAGGGCTCGAGGGCTCGAGGGCTCGAGGGTTCGAGGTCTCGGGGCCTCGAGGGCTCGAGGGTTCGAGGGCTGGGGGGGCCGGGGGCTCGAGGGCTCCGGGGCTCGAGGGCCCCGGGGCTCGAGGGCCGGAGAACTCGCGGGTTCGCGGGCTCGAGGGCTCGAGGGTTCGAAAACTCGAGGGCCCCAGGGCTCGCGGGCTCAAGGGCTCGGGGGCTCGAGGGCTCGAGGGCCGGGGGGCTCGAGGGCTCGAGGGCTCGGGGGCTCGGAGACCGAGGGCTCGGGGGCTCGAGGGCTCGGGGGCTCGAGGGCTCGAGGGCTCGAGGGCTCGAGGGCTCGAGAGCTCGAGGGCTCGAGGGTTCGAGGGCGCGAGGGGCGTCCGCCGACGCTATGCCATTACTCTGGCGCCGCCCCTCCGTTTTTTCAGATGCGGCGAAGCCCATCTTCGACAGGCTGCAGACATTCTTCAGCCACGGCGGCGCGCTGGGCTTGGAGGCGTTCGACAGGCTGTTTGGCGGGTTGGGCGCCGTGTGCAGCATGGGCGGCATTTCCCCGCTGGCGAGTTTCTCGCGGCTGGCGAAGACCCTGGAGCAGAGGAAGGCGTTCTTCGATCGCAAGGAGCGGGCGCCCCATCGCATCGGCCGTCTCGACAACCGCGCACTCGCACGCAGGGTAACATTGCACTCGCTCGCGCGGTATAAATGCGCTCGCGCGCCAAATAAAAATGCACCCGCGCGCCGACCAGAGCGCGCAGGCAGCGCGGCGCGCGAGCGCATTTTCTGGTGCGTGAGTGAATTTTTAGATGGCGCGGGGGTGGATTTTTGGAGGCTGCGGGGGTGCGCGTCTGAGCGGCGCGCGAGTGCATTTGTCGACGGCGCGCGAATGAATGTTCAGACGATGTGCCAGGGGATTCTCATGCGACTTGCGAGTCATTATTACACCGCGTGCGAGTGCGTTCCGAGATTCTAGACGCATCGCGTACCCCCGCCAGCACGTCCAGAAATGAACCCCAGGGGAGTGGGGGCGACGGGGGAAGCGGGGGGGGCGCGCGCGGAAGAGCAAAGGGGGGGAAGCTGCCATATGCCCCAAGAGGGGGAGGATGTAGGAGGAGTCGTCGTCGTCGGAGTAGGAGGGGGGGGAGGGGGGGGCAGGAGGGGGGGCAGGGGGTGAAAGGAGATGGACGGGGGCGAGGACGAGGAGGGCGAGGAGGAGAAGGAAAAGGAGGAGGAGGAGGAGGAGGAGGAGGAGGCGGAGGAGAACGAGGAGGAGGAGGAGGAGAGGGAGGGGGAGGAAGGAGGAGGAAGAAAAAGAGGAGGAGGAGGAGGAGGAGGAGGAGGAGGAGGAGGAGGAGGAGCAGGGCAATGGCGAGCTTGGGGGCCCATTGGGTCGTCTTTGGGGCCTCTTGTCGGTCCCGGGCGTATCTCGGGGGGCCTCTTGGGACCTCCTGGGGATCTCTTGGAGGCCTCTTGGGCGCCTCTTGGGGCGTCTTGGGGCTCTCTTGGGGCGTTCGGGGCGCTCTCGGGAGCCTTCGGGCCGCTTTGGGGGCCATCTTGGAAGCGATCGATCAAAGCAGGGGGGCTCCCCAGTTAGCACCGCCCCTCGGGGGCCCCCACAATGGCCTCCTGGACCCCCCTGGGGGCGCTCTTGGAGCGCTCTCGGGCGTTTTCGGGGCCCCCTCGGGCCCCTGTTGGGGCTATCTTGGGCCCTCTTGGAGCCATCTTGGGCGGCGGAAGGCCATCGGCAGCGAAAAGGCGAGAAGGCAATAATCATTTGATTTCCTTCGGTTTTTGAAGGATTGTAGCCTCTTGGAGGACTCCTTGGGGAGCTATTGAGCGTATTGGGGCGGTCGTGGGGCCTCTTGGAGCATCCTCAGAGCCATGTTGATGCATCTTGGCCCATTTTGAGCCATCTTGGAGGTCATCTCGGGCTTTCCGAGGCGTTCTTGGAGCCGTCTTGGGCCATCTTGGACGCTCCAACGCGTCGCCGCGCCCCCCGCCCAGGTCGGGGGGGGGGGGGGCGGGGGGGGGTAAACCCCTCCCCGAAAGGGAAGAAGGAGGGATGGACAAGGGAACTTTCTAAACCACCTACGCCCGGAGGGCTGGGCGCACGCTTTTTTTTCCCCCAGCCCTCCTTGGTTGGGCATTCGTTTTGAATAGAGCAGTGTGGTATCCACTCCTTCCTCCTCCTCCCTCCCTCCCTGCCTCTTCCTGTCTTGCCTGCGGGGGGCTGCGATCTGTGAAACTGTCGCCATTTTCGAGGCCTGCTGGGGGGCCCAGCGCAGTGAGGGCGACGCGCGGGTTCAAATTAGACTTCGCCATCCCTGGGGGGCTGCGATCTGTGAAACTGTCGCCATTGTCGAGGCCTGCTGGGGGGCCCAGCACAGCGAAGGCGACGCGCAGATGCAAATGAGACCTCGCCATCCCTGGGGGGCTGCGATCTGTGAAACTGCTACCATTTTCGAGGCCTGCTGGGGGGCCCAGCACAGTGAGGGCCCCGCGCGGCTTCAAATTAGACCTCGCCATCCCTGGGGGGCTGCGATCTGCGAAACTGCTACCATTTTCGAGGCCTGCTGGGGGGCCCAGCACAGTGAGGGCCCCGCGCGGATTCAAACTAGACCTCGCCATCCGTGGGGGGCTGCGATCTGTGAAACTGTCGCCATTTTCGAGGCCTGCTGCGGGGCCAGCACAGTGAGAGCGACGCGCGGATTCAAATGAGACATCGCCGTCCCTGGAGGGGCTGCGATCTGTGAAACTGCTGCCACTTTCGAGGCCTGCTGGGGGGCCCAGCGCAGTGAGGGCGACACGCAGGTTCAAATGAAACCTCGCCATCCCTGGGGGGGGGGGCTGCGATCTGCGAAACTGTCGCCACTTTCGAGGCCTGTTTGGGGGGCCAGCACAGTGACGCCACGGGCAGATTCAAATGAGACCTCGCCATCCCTGGGGGCTGCGATCTGTGAAACTGTCGCCATTTTCGAGGCCTGCTGGGGGGCCCAGCACAGTGAAGGCGACGCGCATATGCAAATGAGACCTCGCCATCCCTGGGGGGGTGCGATCTGTGAAACTGTCGCCATTTTCGAGGCCTGCTGGGGGGGGGCAGCACAGTGAGGGCCACGGGCAGATTCAAATGAGACCTCGCCATCCCCGGGGGGCTGCGATCTGTGAAACTGTCGCCATTTTCGAGGCCTGCTGGGGGGCCCAGCACAGTGAGGGCGACGCGCGGATTCAAATTCTACCTCGCCATCTCTGGGGGGGCTGCGATATGTGAAACTGTCGCCACGTTCGAGGCCTGCTGGGGGGGCCTGCACAGTTACGCCACGGGCATATTCAAACGAGACCTCGCCATCCCTTGGGGGCTGCGACTGTGAAACTGTCGCCACTTTCGAGGCCTGCTGGGGGGCCCAGCGCAGTGACGCCACGGGCAGATTCAAATGAGACCTCGCCATCCCTTGAAGGCTGCGATCTGCGAAACTGTCGCCACTTCCGAGGCCTGCTGGGGGGCCCAGCACTGACGCCACGCGCGGACCCAAATTAGACATCGCCATCCCTGGGGGGCTGCGATCTGTGAAACTGTCGCCACTTTCGAGGCCTGCTGTGATCCCTGTTTTCGAAGTGGCTAGGAGTGCTCAGGAATTGCAACTCATTAGCTTTATCAAGCCCTTTTCCTGTAGCCAGTGTCCTGCGAGTCTCCCGAATTCCGTCTGCAGACATATGCAACCCTCGCTCCTTCATCGCCCCCCTTATAAAGTATCCTAAACTATTTGCGCCCCGCTTTTGCGCAGGGGTTGGGTACGTCGCCAGGTTTTTTGTTTTCCCCCAGCTCTCCTGCGTTGGGTTGTCGCTTTGAATAGAGCACTGCTCGCGCGTCTCCTTCCCGCCCCCGTCGCCTTCCCACCCCCATCCCGTCCCTCTCTTCCCCCCTGCCTTTGGCATCGCCATCCCTGGGGGGCTGCGATCTGTGAAACTCTCGCCACTTTCGAGGCCTGCTGGGGGGGGCAGCACAGTGGGTACCCACAGCGGATTCAATTTAGACTTCGCCATCCCTGGGGAGCTGCGATCTGTGAAACTGTCGCCACTTTCGAGGCCTGCTGGGGGGCCCAGCACAGTGGGTACCCACCGCGGATTCAATTCGACCTCGCCATCCCGGGGGGGGGCTGCGATCTGTGAAACTGTTGCCACTTTCGAGGGCTGCTGGGGGGCCCAGCACAGTGGGTACCCACCGCGGATTCAAATTTGACCTGGGTACTCACCGCAGATTCAAATTAGACATCGCCGTCCCTGGGGGGGCTGCGATCTGTGAAACTGTCGCCACTTTCGAGGCCTGCTGGGGGGCCCAGCACAGTGGGTACTCACCGCGGATTCAAATTCGACCTCGCCATCCCTGGGGGGCTGCGATCTGTGAAACTGTCGCCACTTTCGAGGCCTACTGAGGAGCCCCGCACAGTGGGCACCCACCGCGGATTCAAATTAGACCTCGCCATCCCTGGGGGGCTGCGATCTATGAAACCGTCGCCACTTTCGAGGCCTGCTGGGGGGCCCAGCACAGTGGGTACTCACCGCAGATTCAAATTGGCCCTCGCCATCCCTTGGGGGCTGCGATCTGTGAAACTGTCGCCACTTTCGAGGCCTGCTGGGGGGCCCAGCTCAGTGGGTACTCACCGCAGATTCAAATTAGACCTCGCCATCCCTGAGGGGCTGCGATCTGTGAAACTGTCGCCACTTTCGAGGCCTGCTGGGGGGCCCAGCACAGTGACGCCACACGCAGATTCAAATTAGACCTCGCCATCCTTGGGGGAGCTGCGATCTGTGAAACTGTCGCCACTTTCGAGGCCTGCTGGGGGGCCCAGCACAGTGGGTACCCACCGCAGACTCAAATTAGACCACGCCGTCCCTGGGGGGCTGCGATCTGTGAAACCGTCGCCACTTTCGAGGGTTGCTGAGGGGCACGGCACAGTGGGTACCCACTGCTGACTCAAAATTCGACCTCGCCATCCCTGGGGGGCTGCGATCGGTGAAACTGTCGCCACTTTCGAGGGCTGCTGAGGGGCACAGCACAGTGGGTACCCACCGCAGACTGAAATTATACGCCGCTTTCGTCCTTGTTCTCCTCCTGCAGTCACCTTCCCTCTGCTGCTGCCGTGCTGATGCTTCGGCTTCCCGCACGTTTTTCTCCTGCTCTGCGTTCCCGACTCCCCATGTCCTCTTCGAGCCTGTAGCTGTCGCCCCTCGTTCTTGTATGGTTCTCCTGCGCATCATGCCATAGGCGCGCGTCCCAAGTAGCTTACACATCAAGTTGATTGTCCATGCAAGTTTCGGCCAACTCCTCGTTTCCATTGATACAAATGGGTTGGGTACGTCGCCAGGGCAATTTCGGCTGTCTCTGGGCCCCGGGAGCATTCCCGCGCCATTCCCTTGGTCGCGTGGTCGTCGTCGCCGCGGTGGTAATCGTGGTCGCGGTCGTCGTCGCGGTTGCGGTCGTCCTCGCAGTCGTGGTCGTGGTCGCGGTCGTCTGCGTGGTCGTGGTTGTTGTCGTCGTCGCCGTTGTTGTCGCGATCGCGGTCGTAGTCGTTGTCGTGGTCGCGGTCGTCGTCGCGGCGGCGGTCGTCGTCGCGCCCGCGGTCGTCCTCGTGGCCGCGGTCGTCACCGTAGTCGTGATCGTGGTCGCGGTCGTCTGCGTGGTCTTGGTCGTCGCCTTCGCTTTGGTCGCCGTCGAGGTGGCGGTCGTCGTCGCGGCCGTGGTCATCGTCGCGGCGCCCGTCGCTGTCGTGGTCGCGGTCGTCCTCGGGGTCGCGGTCGTCGCTGTGATCGCGGTCGAGGTCGTGGTCGTGTTCGTGTTTCTGGTCGTCGTCGTCGCGGTCGTCGTCGTCGTGGGCTGGCGGGAGGGGCCGAGCGGGGAAGGGCAGGGAGGGCGAAAAAGAAACGGACGGGGAACGCACATCTCCCAATCGTCCCCGCGCGCGCCTGGGCGCCTCGCGCGGAGCAGGCGCGCGCCCAGACGCGCGCGGGGGCG